CGCGAGCCTACCAGACTTATTAAAAAGAGTTTCATGTGGCCTTCAGGTTTGAGTCACCTTTTAGTAAGGGATTAGTGAAGGTAATAGTACGGGTGGTCAGCGGATTGCATCACCAGTCACTATCTTCACGCAGGAATCAATAGCCACCTCATATTATCTTGCTACAATTCATAGGCATCATATCGTACTTTAGCAGTTCTTTCCCAACAATATATATATATATATATATATATATATATATGTTCATTTGCCTAAATATTTTAAGGGTATCTTCCACCCAACCCTAACACACCTTTTATATATATCTACTGAGATTAAATTCCATCTTGGGTTTCGAGTTTGGTAATTATGAGCCAGTTTCTATGAATGGTTTGAGCGGTAGTGGTTATTTAAAGGAAGTAGTATAAGTGATTGTTCTTCTAATATAGGTTTCGAATCTTGTACTTCTCGGCCAGGAGAGCGATGATCGCAATTAGTCACGAAAGACATGTTTACGATATGTGTTCGCCTTCACGTATATTTTGACTACTTCACTCTAGGACCTTGTTGTTCGGATGCCCGTGGATGTCGAAGCATTTCTGACAGCTCTGGTTGGTACGCTTTAGAGTAGTACAACAATATAATCGAGGCATGAATAAGACGATCTTGGCACATTTCACATTGAGGAGCACAATAGCGTTTGACAACTTCGGAAACTTTTCATTTGCTTACCGAGACAACCATGAGTTATCGGCATTACATGCTGCAGACTGTAATATCGATGGCTTAATTGTTGGGTTCGCTAAGCAAGTGGGCGAGTCGGTTGTCGATAACAGGAACTACTAGTTAGCTATGATGAGGACTCGACCCAAGACACACCCATTCTCAAAGTACGTGACATGACTAATGTTTGGACAAGGCCATTTTCATTTTTGGTTTGGATTTTCAGCATAAGTATTTTAACTTATCTTATTATGGTTATATATGTATTTTCAAACATTACAAATGTTTTTGGGGGAAGTTTTTTTTTTGTTTTCAGTTTTAAGTTCAACACGAGTTTTCGACCTCTATGTTATTACATATCTATTTTGACGTTATCGTATTATATGTACATACTTTTAATCTTACATTATTATATATTACGACTTTATATCTTTATAAAGTATGTTTCTACTATTATGTTGATAGGGGAACAAAGTAGGAGCTTGGAGGCAAGAATAAGGATTTTGCAACCCGCTTGTGACAGTGTGGCATATTCTCTTTCATCCAACCACTCTGACTTGATTTCTTCTTTACATATGTGTATATTCTTCTTCCTATTTTAGAGTATTTTTGTATAGCAAGTTATTTTAAATTTTGGGACAAAATTTTCTTAACGGGGGCAAATTGTAACAACCCGTCCTGGATTTGGCAAATCGAAAGGGTAAATTAGTAATTTTCTTTGGTTGTGGGATATTTCTTTGAGACGTTGCTTTATGGCCTTAATTGGTGTGCCCAAGGGGGCCACCCTTTGAGTTTGTTCCCCTGCCCACTTGTTCTTCCTCTATCCTCTTCACCGTGACACTCTATCTTTCCCCCTCACTTTATCTCTTATCTCTGTCTCTCCCTCATCCATCCCTACAGCTCTCTCTATCTCTCTCCAAGCTCACCATATCTCACACAATGAACGTCAACGATGACACTACCCTATCAAACCTGCACCATTGTCTGAACCTTGCTGTCTCAACCTCAGGCCAAGATTGTAGACCTCCAACAATGGTGAAGTCACTGTTCCTGGTTTCCCCGGCACACTCTTTAGGTGCTTAGACTCCTTTGGGTTGTGCTTAGGGTTTGATTAGGGTAGATTTTAAGTGGTTTATACTTGTTGAATGCAAAAATGGCTCGGGGAAAAACTTCCCAGTTTTCGATAAGGGAATCTGAGACTTGTAAGCCGTTTTCAAGCCACGTTTTAACCACGGCTGGACCTTAAAATGGTATAATCCTAATCTGCACTTGGTTGTCTTCAATTTGGTGGGTAAATCGTAGGTTATGGTTGAGTTTCGAGGTTGACTAGAACTTGGAAAACTTCGGCTTTCGTCTCTGTGAGAACCAGTTTGACAACTAAGTTAACCCGACCCGGTAACCCTAAACCTAAATCCACCGGCCCAAATCCTTGGGTTGGGCTACCAGGCTCTAACCCAAAACCCAACCGAGCTTATACGATCCCAAAACCCAGACCTTTGGCCCACTGAACCCAAGCCGAACCACCAACTTAGCCCAGAAACCAACCCAGACCCCAGGCCATGCATGGGCGTCTGCCTTGGTAGTCTTCCGAGGCATGTGGTAGCGTGTGGGGGTACCCGAGGTCCCCCTGTATGTTTTTCGAAGTCCTGAATCCGTTCATGACATCCGTTTTTTGAAATTCAATCGTTATGCTAGAGTTTTATTAATTGGACCCTTTATGTGCTTAGGTGCATTTGTTAGTGGCATTCCCATCCACCCTTGTTGCACAGCTCTACGCCAATGATGTAAGGTAAGTGAACCCCTTCTAAAATGAATGATTTTACTATTAGAAATGCATACATGAAAATCATGATTTATTGGTTACATTTTATGAAACATTTATGAGTAAATTAGATTTACACTTTATGAGATATCATGCTTTACTGAGAATATTTTGGAATACCATACTTTATCGATTTTTATGTTCTTTGTAGTATATATGATTGATGACTATATACTATGAAGATATTTTAATATATGATGTTTGAGCTACTGAGCTCCATTGAGATATATGTACATATGTTTGGAAATATTATATTCAGTGATTTTTGTGCTTATCTAGTGGTCACTATTTGCCTTTGGGTGGGTGTTATAGGAGCCTATGGGCGATTAATACTTATATATGTCTTCAGGTGGGTGTTGTAGGAGCCTACGAGCAAATGAAGGTCTTCGAGCGAAGGAAGTGTTTTGAATTAAATGTTCTAAAGGAAGTGTTCTAAATGAAGTTTTCTGAATGAAGTGTTCTGAAGGAAGTGTTCTATATGCCTTCTGGCGAATGAAGGGTTCTATATGCCTTCGGGCGATATTGATACGACTACTTAGCTCATTATATACGATACATGTTTTACACAAAGGTTTTATGGCATGCTAGGGTTTTCGGAAAACCTATTACATATTATACTATTGAGTTTTCATAAACTTTGGGGGTTAGTACTTTGATGAATAACTATTTCAATATTACTTGTATATAAACTTGGTCCACTCATACTTTGTTTTGCGCCCCCTCAGGACCTAGGGGTACAATCCTGGCGTCAAAGCACTTCAGCATCAACATCTTCAAGTCCTCTCGGCGTAGGACCTATCCTTTTGTTCATTCAATTATATATTATTCATTTTTAATGTCTCGGATTAGTTGTATGCTTTGAGCACGTTCCATAATTGCATATTCATTATAATTAAGTTTACAAGTTTTAATTATGTAGGTTAATTGTTTCTAGTTCTCATGCATCCTAATATGGCTTTGTCACCTTCTGGTGTCGCCCAGTACATGCCTACCCTAGTGTTTGGTGAACATCAGGGTCGGGCGTGTCACTAGTTCCCCCAACATCATACGGTTCTTCCTGTTCGAATCGTCAAGGGTTAGAGCTCATATCGCTCGATTTATCTGTGTTTTAGCGATTTTCTTTTTTTTGAAAATAAGTTGTTTTTAAATGTCTACCAAACACATTTTGGGGCTCAGCTTTTTTAGTACCCACTTTTTTAAGAATTTAAGCTAAACCAAACTAGTACTAAGTTAATTCAGCATAGTCTAGTCTAAAGCTAGTCTAACTTAGTCCCTAAAACTAGTCTAATTCGAGATATTTCGGTGCAACAAACCCACTCTTAAAGTTTGATTCTACCTCCATCACTATTGTTTGTACCATTAAGGCCTTGTTTGGCATACAGTATAAGACACCAGATACTACTAATAATGTGCAGTATGGTTTTTGGTGTTCGTTTGTATTAAATAGTCACTAGATTAAACAATTTGGGCCTACCTATTTTATACGGTATAGACCCGCTTGCTTATCCTCTCCAAAACCATGATACAATTTAGTCGGGCGCTTTCTCCTTCCTTTGAGACGCAGTCGCTCTCTCTGCTCCAGGATAGCTGCCCTTCTTGACAGTAATGATGTTGCCTCCTACTCTTCCACCACCCACCACCACGCAGTCAATAGAAACCGACTGTGTGCCCTCTCTATTGACCCCTGACGGAGATATGTTTAACTCTTTGGCCATCGAGCATCGTAACTTTAGGGATGGGGAGGTTTTGTTTGGTTGAGAGTCCACCACATAAATGGAGAGAGGTTTGTGACAGTGAGGTGCAGAGAAGAAGAGAGGGTGAGTGGCCATGATCCTGGCATTGCTCATGGCGATTGGCTAGCAGTGACCACCACTGACGTCGACTGAAATGAATATCTTCTTCTTTGTTTTCCCTCCCTTTGTTCTTCCCCCTCATTCCCACAAATCCCAAAACCTAATTCCTTTGCCAGCCACCATAAACCACCACCATCACCAAGTTCCATCCAACCACCCAGAACAAGACTCTTCTCTCCCTGCATCTTCTTCTGGCTACCGGATCTCCCTCCTTCTTCTCCACCGCTACATCTTCGACCCCTACAAACAAACAAAGATTTGTCAATTTTTATTTCTTTCCCTTTCTTATCTTATTTAGTACCAAACACAGTATAAATAATACGATCATTAATCTGATACTACCCCAAACGCCCGACTAATTTAATTAGTACCATCTGGTGGTTATTTATTCTATCCGACAGAAATAATCAGTATAGTCCGAGTTGCCAAACAAGGTCTAAAAGAAAAATAAATTTAGTGCTTAGCGCTTAGCGATGGACCCAAAATCAATACGGCCAGGATAAGTGACCAAAAGCCACAGCTATACGAAACGGGCCTCACGTCCTTCATTCATGGGCTCGCAACATAGCAAGGGCCCGACGACCCCTTCTTGCTGAAGCTCAAGTGAAGAAATTGAACTTGGCAGAGACGAAGCTTGCGGAGGTTTTTGCTCCGGCTTTGCTTTCTTCTTCTCCACTTACGAAGCTGCAGAGGAGAATATAATCCGCGATTCAATGTTGAATTAATCGAATTCTGTGATTAACTTTGCGATTCAGCATTTGGGTTCGAAAATGATGTCTCCGAGGCCAGTTCCTGAAGATCGAGGAGGATCGTCTCCCCATTTTAGGTAACCCAATCAATCCAATCTCATTTCTCTGTAATTTTTTTCTTTGATTTTGAGGATTTGAATTGTAAAACCCTAGGGCTTTGTTTGATTTGCGAGAAAGTGTGTGAATCTTGTGTTGTTAATCTATCTGGTTACGAAAATCATAAAACTGGCAATGCTTTTCGTTTTGTTTGGTTTCTGGGAAAATTGGGTCTGAGTTTTCTTGGTGCTCAAGGGTTTGAGAATCATGAGTAGCTGAATAAGTTTGTATAGATATAAATGCAAAAGGAGGAAATAGAAGGGAAAAAAAAAAATTAGCTTTGTGAAATTGTGAAGTTGGGGTTGGTTGTTGTAGATATTGTTGGGTGGCAATCAGCTACCTACTTTGGAAGACTGTTCTGCATAGTTTTAAGAAGTTTTGGGATGCTTTGGCGTGTACGAGGGGCCATTGGATCATTAAGCGTAATGCTTTGCAAAATTGGTGTTGATTACTTTTGTTTTTCCTCTTTACTGACATGGGAATTTAAACTTTAGTTGTCGCTGAGACAATGATCGTAATTATAGTTGCCGCAAGTTTACAGTAAATGGATCTTCCCCCACCGTAAGTCCTTGATATCTCCAGCTTGGTGTGCAATGGTCAATATCCTTTACCACAAAGTATTAGGTTTTTTCTTGTTACTGTTACAGAAGAGGGGATTAATAGGTGAATCAGAAGGTAGTGTGATGAGATTTCCATTTTTAAGGAGGTTCAATCTGTGGTTAGTTGAGATTAAGGGCTTATAAGTTTTCAATATGTACTAACTAATGAGGAGCTCTGTAGTATCTGGTGTAGTACAGAAGCAGTCCTCAGGAGCTAATGTTCAATGTTGAAGGTAGACATTAGTTGCTGTATAGTCTGTATTCAGTCTGGATTTTGTTGTTTCTTTTAGCTCCGGTGGAATAGATTTCTATTTCACCCCCCTTCGGCCCAATAAGAAACGTATAGTAGAAGAACTTATGGAAGTTCCGAGGTTTATCATATTGTATCTAATACGCCAACGTGTAAGCCCAATATTTTTTTTTCTTTTGGGTGAGATCAGCATTTCATGTGTTTTTACTTCGTTGTTCTCTTTACTACAACTAATTATGCCACTGATCTTATCTTAATGTAGGCAAACACCCTTTCAAATAATCCATATTATTGGAAACTTCTTGAGAATATGGTCAATTTACTCCCTGTACCGGTACTTGTCTGAAACGGGAGCTTCGGTTGTACTTTTTCTGTTCACCTGCCTGATCCCAGCATCCATCCTATTTCTAATTATGCAAAAGCCTTGGAAGGGCAGGCCGCTCTCAAATACACAGGTTCCATGATACTTTGGCTTTTATTAGAAACACCTGAAAAGGCATCTGTAAAGTTTATTCAAATGATTGCTATTGCATACTTCTTGAGTGTTCCGTGTTGTTTTCAGGTGGTGCCTTCTGTAATAAATGGTGGCATAACAGCTTTATACTTTATTTTGTGGGGAAAAGGCCTCAAATCATGTGGACCTCTGAGGTAGGCTTGGCTTATAAGATTTCAGATACCACTACAAGTGCTTGTGTGTATAAGTTTCAATTTTATGAATATTCTAATTACATTTTTTTCCCAATTTTTTCAAATTATGTGAGTATGCATTTGAGCAACAATCAGCCAGTAGCAATAAAAATATGGAGCATTGAACATAATTTGAACAAATAGAATTGATTTTGTTAATTACAACTGATTTGTTTCATCTTTGCATATTATGTTAGAGCTATATTAGCAGAGTATTCTGGTGCTGTCCTTGGAGTACTGTCTGGAGTATTATATGGGCGCAGGGGTCACGTTTGGAAAAAGGTAGCTCGGTTAGATGCTTTGTCCTTTGCTTAGAATGTGTCTTCATGTAAATAATCTACCATTGTCTTCGAGCGCATAAGCTAACATTTTGTGTTTGGCATGTTTCTCTCTTAATGAAGGCCTTCACTAATGTCCTTGGCCATTTTCTCGCTTCATTATGTTATCTTTTCTCTAATTACATAAAATAGGTTAGGACTTTACTCATTAGGCTGGTTGGTGTGTGGACTTTTACGTATTCAAGTTTTAGTGAAGATATATCAAGGAATAATAGTACAAGACCTACAGTTCTGGTGACTTGATATAAAAAATAATTTGATTGAAAAATTGGAGCCATGAGATTCTTCTTTGCTCACATGGATGTTTCTTCATCTTTTACCAGGTAGGTGGGCTTATTGCAATGGTGGCATCTTTCTACTTCTTATCTCAAGGGTGGGCCATGGAAACATATTCTCCATTCTATATCCTCTTTTATTAAATCTGTCCTTTCCCTACTGTATAGGATTGTTGTGTTTTATTATTGTTCCTTACCATATCCTCCATGTCGTCTTTCCTCTTCTGTCTTTTTGGTTTGTCTATTTTCAACATAATGATTGCGTTTTGGTAGTGTTATTGTGACTTAACCTGAATTTACCATTTAAAGATAGCCTTGATGATGAGGTTCAGACGGAGCCATTGTTAGGTATAAAAGAGATGGCCCTTCCAATCTTTGCTGGCATCTTATCAGCATTGAGGAGGGTGATCGCACGGCGTGTTTCACTCAAGGTGCTGAATTGCTGATATTTGTCTATCTTCAGTTATCTTATTATTCTTTTGCTCTAACCCGTTCCAAGGAATATGTATCTGTCTAATTTTCTATTAATTAAAACTATTAACAAATTACTGCTGCTGGTTGCATCATTCTGTGCTTTCAGAATCAACTTAAAAGGCGACTTAATGCAATAACTGTTGCCTCTGCAACATGTTTCCTGTTCCCTGTGGCCATGTGGGACATGATCATAGTAAGTTGTATGATACGATAAGCGGTTCTAGGTCAAATTTGATTAGATTTACATTTTCAGTTGGACTCTAGTTCAATTTTATGGGCTTGCTATGTCTGTTTTGTTCTTTATTAGCCCTCTCCCTGTTGTTCTTTCTGATTTTTCGTGTTGGTTTTGTTGGGGCACTTAGGGATCACCTTCAAGTACCAGCGATAAGGTGCCATTCTCTACTTGGGCTTTTTTGAGCACCATTCTTTTTGGAGTAATCTTGATATTCTATGTTGATAGTATGGCGGAAGAAAGGTATATTTCAGAACTTTCGATGCAGTTTTGGTTAATCTATGTAGAAATGCTTGATTATCAGTTATTACTTGTCTACATGATCATTTCATATACTTAGTTTGACCATTAATGCTCCTAATGTATTATAGGTTGCACATGGTTTTCTCTTCTCCAAGGCATTTAATGGTAGCTGGAGGATGCATTATCATTATGGAGATTGTGTACAAAATGGACTTTTCTCTTCCAGGCTTTCTAATTTGCTGCTTAATTTTGGGCTTTGGTATGTGTATAGTATTTATCACTGCCAGCGTCGGCATTGTCATTAAGATTGTGATCAACATCATCCTCATCTCTATTATCGTATCTTGTCTTCACTGCAATTTATTGAAAATGAAGTATTTTCTGGTACAGATGAGCGCTTCTTATGGATGCCATTTGTTTATTGAGTAATATTTTTTTTAGTAGAGCAATAGTGTTAGTGGGTTAGATGTTAATTGTTAAGGGGGAGGGGAATCTGTGGGGACTGAACACGCACCATGATGCATATGCATGATTGCTTTCCGCCACTGTGGTAAAGCGCCATCTACGTTTATTGAGTAATTTATTCATTCACTTATTTGCATATCTGCATTTCCACTTTTTTTTTTTTTTATGTTTCTGTTTTGTTTTTATTAATTAGTTTTGCATAAATTTTCTCTAAAGTTTGAATAACTTTTGTAGGGATATATGAGGCAACTTCTTTGGAACGTGGTAGAAAAGATTCTTTTCAAACTGCAGATTCATCAAATGGGATGCTAGGGGACGAAATTCAGATGTCGTCACTTCCAACTTGATTTATGTTTACGTTTGGATTACAAGGTTGTACTTATCGTTTGCTTACAAATTCCTCATCTTTATTTGCTATAGGCAGTAATAATCTGTTGTGAGTCGTAGTCTTGAAAGTAATAGGCATATTGATGATGTTAGTTCTAGTTATGTGAGGATCTACAGATTTTAGCAGAGTAATAAATCCTGATATATGTGAAGGGTTAGAAAAGAGATACGTTAACGAGGATCAACATCCCACCCGAAAAGCTAGAACACATGATTAACGGATATTGTCTGTGCACTGAGATACAAAGCGCACAACATTGTCAGCAAATTCTTTCTTTCATTAGTATTTCATGATTAAACCAATATTTCTCATCTCAGGTCTGTGCTTTCTTTTTCTTTGCTGATTATTCTCTGTTTCTCATTCAGTTGCAATTGTGTCAGTAGCAAATTCGTCGGCTGCAAGTAGCTACACAAATGTTGGTCCACTGGTCAGATGCTAGAAAACCATAACCAGGAGGAGGGAAATATACGCGTTGCAAAACTTTACACAAACTCTGGATTGTTGAAATGGTAGGAAACTCCCAAGAAATTTGTTGGTCATCGATCCTGATGTGGAATGTTGGTGGATCGTGGCAGTATTGAATCTGTTGAATCCATTACCACTTAGAAATGTGCCGTACAGTTCTAACCGGTGATAGTTTACCATCTGTTGAAGAAATATACTTGTACTAACTTTTCAGGAATTATACGAGATCATTTCTCTCTTAAAATTCGTTTTTTGGCGTTGGATTTTCGTCAAATGGTTGGTGAAGATTATATGTTATGATTTGTGTTTGGACTCGCATTCTCTTCCCTTCTATCTCTTTTGTCTTGTTGGTGCCTTTTTTTAATCAGAACCATTCAGCTAGATGCAGTGGGTAAGTGCTACCTCCTACAACCCAAACTTTGCTCGTCTTTCCACAGTGTCTCCACCATTTCGCCATGCTGCCAAAACGATCTAAACCGTGCCTGCTGTCGGTTGTTGTCGCTTAGGTGGCAAAGGACTTAGAATCATACGAGCAGTCTAAAATAGAGGACGTAGAATCACCATGGAGTGGCTCAGTGGTTGGGGATGAATTTCAAGCTCATATTCCACACGACACGTTCTGTGTTCGATTCTTGTACTTGAATGGTTGCTAGGGGAGGCTGAAATGCCTCTGTGTGTCTTCTTGGCTCCTAGAAGGGTGGACTACCATGGCAAAGAGAGAAATTTTACGATAAAAATTACACTCAACAAGGAGTAAGTAAAATAGAAGACGTAGGAATGTTGTTTTTTTGGAAGAATTTACTTATCAACCCACCCAAAACATCATTCCGCGTTGTACTCAAATTTTCTCTAGTTTACTGAACTGATCTCATGGATCAATGCACGTTTTCTGAATATTGTTCAACTTAATCGTACAACAAAATATCACAGCCTTATGTTATTTTCTTTCAAAAGCAGATGTTCAAATGTATAAAAATCATTTGGTACGCAAGGAAAGATAAATTGCTGTAAAATGCCAATTCATATTCCCAGACAATCCAATGTACAGAGCTTATAATCCATTCACTTTCTTTCCGGAACAAAATTGCAACATACTGATTTTGGCATAAAGCTCAGTCAGGGCACATAAAAGAACAAGAGTTTCGCCCGTAAATTGTTCGATGTCGGAACATCTTGAATGAAATAAATTACATTAATGCGCAAGAGATGGCACTTCTTATGATCTTGATTCTAAGAGGACAGAAAATAACTCAGCAAATAAATCAATCAACCCGGAAACATCAATCAGCGGTAAACGGAATACACCTTCTCCTGGTAGCCTAAACTGGGAAGAAGATGATGCTAAATTACAAAGTGGTGAACCTGGCGTTATTAGACCTTTTGTTTTCCTTTCCTCAGTCTTTCTAGTTCTGTTTCAGTGTCTTTCAACTGCTGCCTTAGAGTGACCACTCTTTTCTCTAACTCTTCCAATGTGCCTTTGCTGGTGGAAGGTTGGTATGGTGTCAGAAAATGACACGAAAACGCTTTTAGAGCATCAACTCCTGTAACCTGCAAAATCCAAAGTAATCAAAAGGTTGATGATCAATAAGCAGCCAATAATAGTATTACGAATCGGTGTGGTACAAATTCTAAAGTTAATAAGCCCTAAAGTAGGAAGCCATGAAAAGAGGTGAATTTAGTTGCAACATACACCTCATGAAAACATTAGATTCATTTGCAATGTTCCTTCAAGATGTTCTCCAATTGAAATAATAGGTTACGTTTTTGGAACCAAATTGAAGAATAAAGAGGCCTCAGAAATCTAATGGATAGATATCATCATATGGTGGTCTCACAGAACCCATCAAGAATAGCTACATCCTATAGTACTATACATTGTGGAATGGAAAGAAACAGAGATTCGGAGCTAAAATAGTTTCATTATCTTTATAATTCTTTTAGTAAATTGACCAACCAACCCCCAGAAGGATCAAAGCACTGGGATATTCGGTGTGAAATCACATTCCTTACTTTTTCTCAGCTGGTTGAATATTTTACATAAATATATAAGAATATTTGAATAAAATATAACTAAACAAAAAGATTAAGTACTAAATATCCCGGAGAAGAAAAGGAATGGCGGGTGGGTAAATCATGGTAAAATTCCATCATCTATAGCTCTCTTTCCTACTAGGTTGAGATTTTTGTGAAAAATGGAGATAAAAGTCTTGATGCGTTCTGAGACATTCACAAAATAACAATCACTCAAATAGAAAGTACGGGGAAGCTCACTGCAAAAGTTTACAGATCACCAACCCCCTTTTCTTTCCAGTGCAAGAAGTCAAAGTTTCATAAATTATGGCACTCTATGGTCTTACCTCTTCCGGCAGCAACGGCAGCTTGGTGATGTTGAAGTCGTCATACAACATGTAGAACTGATCAAGGTACTTTTGTTGCATTCGCATTCTTGCTTTGAGTAGTTTAGATTCTGTGCCTACAAAAACAAAATTACCCAATAGATAATTAAACTTGAGCTAAGAGCATGTAAAAGAAATTAATGTACACGGACACCGTAGGCATACCTTCTTCATCATAAAGTACTTGGTTAATGATGATGTTGTGTGTATCTATCTCAAATTTGGTGAGTTCCTGCACCAGTCTCTCTGTTTCATAGAGAGAGAGGAATTCTGGAATGCAAACGCAGACAAAGGTCGTCAAGTCCTGCAAAAGTGAGATATGAATGCCTCCACAATGCCTGTATATTTGGAAATTTAATTTGGAGGCAGAAGAGTGATGAAGTTTGGAAAAACAACTTCAGATTTTGAAAAGAACTTAAAATTCCTCCTCCTTTCAAAACTGACTCATGAAAGCATCACTACTCATGATATCGAATGAAACAAAAGGTTTCAGTTTCTATCTAAATAAGTGGAAAAAGTATTTTCTCTTCTTTAGGATCCAAAACCCAACCAAGGAAAAATCTTTATTTATTTTACCCTTTTTAGCTTTGCTCTAATCTAATGTATTAAAAATCTAAAACATATCTGTTACCGTACAATAGTCATCCTATCCAAAATCAATGATACAGACAACAGAAAAAAGAAAAATGAATGAGCAGACTTACTGGGTCTTTAAATTGTCGATTGACTTGTTCAATCACATCTTTCATGCCCTCCAGCTTTCCCAGAATTGCATCCTCTCCAAATTCGTCACCAACACCAAAGAGGCTTGTCATCTGCCTCGATCAATTTTGAACACTTAATACCATAAACGTCGAAACAGTTGTAACTGACCAATTACAAGCTTACAAAACTCAGACAAAAGAAATTTACGAAAAAGTTAAGACTCCACGTGTGTCTTAACCATATAATTTTGAATGCAAGGGAAGATATGACTGACAGTTCAACGGTATATACCTGAGTCATTAGACCGCCAAATTTATTTTTCAAAGACATCACTTTCGCCAGACCTTTCTCCAAGGTTGATGGAAACTGCAACAGCCGAAGCGTATGGCCAGTTGGTGCAGTATCAAATACTATAACCGAATAATCCATTGTTTGGACCAATCTGCATGGACATAATTTCCACAAATGAATTGGCAGATTGATTGGTAAAACACTAAATTAAAATAAGCAACACATGAGAGGAGCTCTACCAAGATAGTAAATAGCAAGTATTGATTTGCAAAGAAACAAACATAAGGGAACAAGAATCTCACTTTAGCATCTCGGCAAAGCTCATGGCCTCATCAATTCCAGGAATAGCATTTGCTAGATCAGAAAACAGATTATCCATTCCATCGTTTCCACCCATGTCTTCGTGCTCAACGGTAGGATCCACTTCCTATGTAGGATCAAAACCAATCAATGAGACTGCATAAAATGCAAAGCGCGCGCACACACAAATGCAGCATAGGGAGGTCGAAATTCAGCAACAAGTACTAAACCAAGCAATGAAGAATTAACTGCCTCTAATTTCAAAAAATAAATCAAATTCTCAACAATTTGTTCATATAATTGAAGCTAAACTCAAAATCTATGAACTGGGAATCCCCAATTTTATCAAATAGCACCAAATTCCAAGAAGCCAACAAGTGGGAACTTCTTTTGCCCCAAAAAAAACCGGGTATTTCCCAAATTCATTAAAAACCCAAAATTCCACCCACCAAAAAATTCCCAAAACCCACAATTCACCTAAAGCAAGAATTACCCAGTAAAAATAATTGAAGGAGGCAAGATTGTGAATCGAAAAGCGTACCATAGCATAGAGATTGGTGAACCCGTTAACCAAAGTGGGAGTCTTGGTGAACTTCTGCTGAAAAGCATCGCTGAGATTGTGAGCAGGGTCGGTGGAGATGATCAAAACGGAGGATCTGACTCTGGAGAGAAGGATCGAGAGGATCGAGCTACATGTCGTTTTGCCCACGCCACCTTTGCCGCCAACAAAGACCCACTTGAGGCTCTCTTGTTCCAGTACGTTCTGTATAGTCCCCTCTGGTAAATCAGACGCTGTCGCCATTTACTCACAGAGCACTGTTCACTCTCTCTCTCTCAAGAGTAAGCAATTGGAACCCAGAAATCTAGAGAGAGAAAGCAACAGTGGGAAGGAGACAGTGGGTGATCCACCCCGAGAACGTACGCTGCCGTAGATATTTCGGGTTGGGTTTTTGAGCCCACGGTCTTCGAAAAATCCGAACGAATAAGTATCACAATATTCGGTAGGTAATGACCGAACAATTTGTCATTTTCCTTCGGTTTGTTTTAGAAGGGGTGTATTCAATTGGGAATTTGAAAGATTTCAATATATTTATAAATCCATAGATTTTTAAGGAGTTTAATTGATTTGTAGAGATTCCATGTAAAATTTTGATTCAATTCTCTCGAAATCTCATAAGGAGAGGTGAGATTTGTGAATGCTAAAAATACACTACGAAATTTCTCAAATTCCTTAACTTTTTGAAATTTTTTAAAATTAAATTCTAATTGAATACACATGGAATATTATAAACTTGTTTAAATCTTAATTGAATACACTCAAATTTCTAAGGATTTTAAGATAGTTTCTTAAAATCTTGATTGAATACACATTGAATTTCAAAGAGTTACTTAAACTTCTGATTGAATACCTCTAGATTCATTAAAAGAATTAAAATCTCTCAAAATCTCAATTGAATACTTTCCTTGAATGTTGTTTTGGAAAATGCTTTTAATACAATAGATTTACGCAATTTTTCATACTCGGTTATATAATCCTCCCAAATTATCAACCCACATTCTATATTCCACTTTCTTGACTCTCTCGTAGCGATCTAGAATGTATACAATCAGTTGTGAAATATTAATGCATGTGAAACATCCACACGTACATGCACAAGTGATTGCCCTTAACATTAATCGGGATATGTTTTCTTTCACTATTTAAAATGACGTTGATGAAAGGAGATTTGGACTTAAACTCCAGTAAACCACTAAAGACAAACTCCTCACCATAATATGTTTGTGCCATATAACTCATTTTCTAAGGAGAAAAAAAACCCTTAATTGGCAAATATCAAATGAAACACTAATAATTTGGGCATGTAATAAAGTCTGTTGTGTTATTATATTAAGCTGCTACAACATTTTGAGAACTTGAAAAACATATTGCAAGAGATTCAAGTCCTCACTTTTCATGTAAACACCACCAATAAAAAAGCATTGTTGGCATTGGTTTAATACTCAGAAGGTGTAGAGTTCCATTGTACTAAGAGAAGAGGGATGGAAATTAGTAGAGAGAGTTGTAGGTGAAGCAGGTGGCAACAACGGAAGTGATACAGATGAAGAGTGCAGGAACTAAGGTGGTGTTCAAGAGCTTGCTTTCGCCCAAAGCCCCCGATATGGTTATTGTTCCATCTGCGATTACCCGAGCTAGGGTTCCTGCTTCGGTTGAAAGCAGTCCGCCATTGTAAGTCCCCCGAGAAAGCCTCGATGACATGACACGAGATAGGAGTGATAAGTTCACACCTGGATTATTACATCAACTGTCAATCTTTTTATTTGATTAAGCAAAGCAAAATTTCATGTGTATGTGACCAGAAACTAAATAGATGATTTTTCAGGGCAAACACTTCAAATAGAGAAGCAATTATCGTTCCTAATCTAGAGAGTGAATTACCTTCGAGGACTTCAGCTGCCACGAATGTTAAAAGCGCCGAGCCGACATATTGAGGCACGGAGTAAGGGATCAATACGTGAAAGCTTAGTAGTATACCTATGCATACCAAAATCTCCGATACCAGTAAAACCTGCCTGCAATCGGAGACAAAATATATGCATAAGCTGATGATCAACATATAACAGATAATACACACTGACTTCTCATTCTTGAAGGTTTACCTTTCTTCAAACATGTTGCTGATGTAACTTCCAATAACAACGTTCACTGGAAGCACTGTTAACCCAAGACATGCAAGAAAGGCTGCCACACTACTAGTTGACCAAACAAAATAATATCCAGTGATGACACTGGATTCAGCGAGCACAATCTCCATTGCGTATTTGAGCATGAAATAGATATATAGTTGAACCTGTTGAGCGTTCACAAGATTCAAGTAAGACGTCGTGCCAAATGTTGGAACAAGTTCAAAAGAGATGAAAGCTCTAAATCAGTAATATATGTTCATGCTACTTTACTAAAGCAAGCTTGAGAGCTGAAAAAGGGAAATGAACGAGGCGATCTAAGAAAACCAGAGTAACATATGGTGAGAGAGAGGATCTAAGAAAACCAGAGTAACATATGGTGAGAGAGAGGATCTAAGAATGTACAGTTAGAACATCGTATTGCTACATTCTTCGGATTTCCATAAACCTAAAAAGATTTGCTTCGAAAAGATACAAAACTTCTTAGTTTGGCGAACCTACGAAATACAAACATATGACTTCAGTGATGCCATTTTGTTATGATGAGTTTTCTTAATGAACGATTTTTATTTCCCATGGTTTTAGAATATCGATCTGCACAATCTAGCTTACTCAACAACAACTAGTCGTCGAAATTCATGAGGTGAATGTTCCTCCTTCTCTCCCCGACGAATAAAGACTTCAACTACAAGTAAGAACTAGAAAATACTCAATACCTTGACTGAAGGGGTTAGTAGTCTATATGCTGACACAATTGAATTGACTGGTTTCTGAATTTGCACAGCATCTTCCTCGGCATCCTCACCATCTGTGTCTCTATCTTCAAGTTTTTCCTTTGCTTTGGAGTTTGTAAGGAACGGTTGTGTAGAACCATTCTCCACAGAAATATTTACGTATTTCCCTATTCCAAAAAGCTTCATATCAGTAATAAAGATATTGTGTTCCATAAACAGTATCAAGAATGAAGCATATCTTGCTTACAGACCAGAATTAGATTCTCGTGGCACTTCTGGAGCACGAGAAGGTTCTTTGAAAGAGATTGACAACCACAACAGATAGATGAGCCACGCGAGAGCCATTACCCAACCAGGTAATGTGTCTTCATTGAATGTCAACTTATAAATCTTGAAATTTCTTTGGAACAAACAAGCAAGAGCAGGACCACATGCCATTCCAAGCGCACCGGCACTAACAAAACCAGCAGAAGCCTGCATTCGCAGTTTCAGGGGTACGCAGTCACTGATGTAACGCCTATTAACTGCTCTTGCAGAACCTAACCTGCAAAATTGACAGCATGACTATCGGTGTTAACAAGGTAAACGAGAGAATTATATTCCAAAGCATGAATAGGAACGGATAACTTGTGCACTAAATTTACAGTTTAACTATAAAAAATTCACCTACCCACAGAATAATCGACCAATCAGAAGTACTGATATGGAATTAAGATCATAAGCTAGAGCATATAAAGTATTTCCCACCAGAAGAATGATGCTGCTAAATATGAGTGGTCTCATGTATGATCTATTTGACCAGGCACTAAAATAAACTGAAGAAAAGATCTGGGCAACCGCCATCGATCCAATCACAACACCACAGACAGTTGCCGCAGCTCCGAGGGTCATGGAGTAATTGTCAGCTGTTGGGACAATTATATATGTATTAACCATATACAGAAATGTGTTTGCCAAGTTTAAGATGAGTGACATGAAATGATATTTGCTGTCATCAGCCTGATCCCCGGATAGAATTGGTAAATCCTCCTCCATGAGAAGTGCATGTTTTCCCAAATAATGAAGGAAACTTGTTGAATTTGACAACCTGTTCACCGCTGCCCTTAGAGAATTAACGACAGGATCCTGCGAAATAAGACCAAATATTTAAACGTCAGTTGAAATTCAATATTGCATAACATACTTGCAGAGGCAGAAACAATTTGAAAATCAATGAGAGGGATTAGAAAAAAGAATTGTTGCTGCAAAGAATACTTCAATGGATATTAGAGTAAACCGGGTGAGAAAAAGCAGGTTGATCATATATTGATATGTAGTTCTCATATTGCTGTTGAAATCCTTGAAGATCCGCAAGGTTGCGAGATATGGCTCCAACAACAGCTCCGATACCCTGCACGTTTAGCTATTAGTTAATGATCCTTGTTTTCAAATATAAAGACAGTATGATTCGTGGAAACCATTCATAAGCTGCAGTTAAATACGAAAGTTAAAGAAATGAGTACAAAATTCAGCACATTACCACATGCTTGCAAACTTGTCGTAACTGAGAATAAGGATGATTTGCGCGAGTTTTGACATAGTAATCTGTAAATTTATAGCCAAACCGCTTATCAAACTTCTTCAATATCTTACGCAGACCGATAGCATTCATCTCAACAAAAGATAGGATTCTTAAGAGATCGCGTCCAACTGATCTGTATGCTTCTTGCAGTTGAGAAATTCTCTCTCTATCAGCATCTTGTCGTATGAGAGACTCATATTGTTCTCCAAGACTAGATAACCTGCTTGCAAGCACTCCTTGTTGTTCCAGCATAAACATGACAATCTTTTCAATCTGAATTTAAAAGACAAAAATACAAAAATGAAAAAAGAAATCATGCTTCTGGCGATGATTTAACACCTAAATCATCCATCAGTGTGAAAGGATCAGCTCTACCGGCAAAAATCTATGCTTCGACGTCAATGAATTTAAAAAAGATGAAGTTGATCCACACCAGAAAACAGGGGAAAAGAAAGCTCGGCAAGTCTAGACATTTCATTTGGATTTTGGACCATATCCAAATAGATTATCAATTTAATAGACAATAGTTCATCGGCATATGTCCTAATGTCTTTATTTTCCATACTTGAAAATATGATGAAGGGTAAAAAACCAAGTAATATTATCTATGAGATGCAGCAACAGATTGGCCTCACATGTAGTAAACTTTAGCAGAAGGATCACAAATGTGCATGACTTTTAGTTTCGGCAAACATCGCGAATCAAGATAACAATGGCGATTTTGAGAAGTCCTTAAGAACATAATTCCTACATGAATATACGAGTTACCTCGCTATCGAGCAATCTTGAGAAGTCTTTAAGAACATGGGGATGGTTTTGTGTTCCAACTTCAATTTGTTGAGTATACTGGTTGAGTTTCTTCTTCATTAACTTGTAGTCCAAATAGCATCTGAAATGAAATAATCAAACTAAAAGTCTAAGCAGATAACATTTTTCAGGTCAAAAACTTACTCGAACATACCCTTGCCATTCTTGAATTTGCGATTCTCGCAACTTCTTCCCGAAGGCGACCATCTTTCAGATTCAATGCAACTGCACGAAGAAAATCAGCAGCAACAGTGTTTTTGTAAGAGTTGATAAAGCAGCAAAGTGAAGAAGTACTAAAATTTTCCTTCCTCTCAAATGTTAATTATATGCTTTTCGACTTGTAAAAGGAGCAAGATTTTGTTTTGGTAAAATTTCTAGTTTGATTTTTACCAAAACAAAATAATCTAGTTTGGCAATTTCTTCATAACTACTCAAGAACGGAAAAAAAAATAATCTTCTCCCTTAATTTTTTTTCTCAACGAAAACTGGAAAACAACGAAATCTTTGATTTGCCCCATTTTTCTCAGTTTCACTTTCCTTGGAGTAAAACGTCCATATTAAGAAATTTTAACTGAAAACATTTAAAAAATAAACACATGAAATGAACTAAACAGTGTACTCCCCCTATAAACCCAAGTCCAAATACCACTCGTCATGTATGGCCTTAGATTAAATTAATTAGAATATTGCTCGAAAACACATAAACACAATTCCATATTAAACAAAATCGAATTCAAACAAAAAATGAACAAAAACCCAGAAATTTAATTGGCTGGAGAAGCAGATAACGTTACCAAATCCCAAATAGTTCATCTACCACACACCTTTATGTTTTGGCAAAAAAAAATATCGAAATGGATTCGATTTGAAAGAATTGAAGTTTGTGGGGAAAGCCGAAAAGGCAAGAACCTATATGCGTGGGAATGGAAGTCCAGAATCATGAGAAAGGTTCCAGGAAACGGATTCCGATAAGAATCTAATGAAGAGAGGATCTGTGTGTGGTGTGGAGTTCTCCTCTTTAAGTGTTTAACTGAAAGAGAGAAGAGTGTAAGTGAATGAGTCAATGTCATGAACTGTCGCGCGAAATCTGTTGTATACGTGGAAGGAGTAAAATGGTAATTACGTTGTCTGTATCTCCATTTCACATGATACTTTGGACGCTTTCTGCAGAAAGCTAACAAACCAAAAACCATGCATAACGCCATCCCAATATGCAATAGCAGCCCCAAAAAAATTAATATGACATACAAAATATCAAAAGATCTACAGCCACGAGGTATTATAAATTAGATTTTTTATTTTGCTAAAATAATTTTTTTATATAAAAATTCTTTATAGTAAATTGATGGTAAAATTATATATATTTTTTTAAATTTCAAAACCCTGCTTATTTAGTTGGACTTTATTGTTCTACTAGTAGTTTAAATGACTAAAAACATTTTTGGTAAACATGTTCTTTAGGGTGAACTGCCAATTTAGTCTTTGAATTATCACCTAAGTGAAAATTAGGTCTCTAAATTACTTTTTTTCTTTCAGAAAAAACAGTCTTTGAATTATAAAAAAATCTACCAATTACATCCCTTGTGACATCCCACATCGTCCAGGGAAGTGATCCTTAAATGTATATTCTCATCCCTACCTAGCACGAGGCCTTTTGGGAGCTCACTGGCTTCGGGTTCCGTTGGAACTCCAAAGTTAAGTGAGTAGCGCGCGAGAGCACTCCTATGATGGGTGACCCATCGGGAAGTTCTCGTGTGAGTTCCCAGAAACAAAACCGTGAGGGCGTAGTCGGGGCCTAAAGCGGACAATATCGTGCTAAGGTGGTGGAGTGGGCTCGGGAAGTGATCCGTCCCGGGCCGGGATGTGACATCCCTAATATTATATTCGAAGCTACTATATTCAATTTTCCATCAATTTAAGTCATGTTACTTGCATGTGATACATATTGAAGGGTAGGTTGGTAATTTTACATAAAAAAATAATTTATGGAGTTAACTTTCGAGGGTAAATTAGACATTATTATATTCGCAACCTATATGAAGTGTTAAGAGCTTATAAGCGAGAAAAGAACGGTATTACACTCTAAAGTGTGTTGTTGAAAAATTGGATAAATAGCTTTGAATATAATAGTAGGGATGAAATTAGCAAATTTAAATGAATTTAGGGACTTATTTTACAGAAAAATAATTTAGGAAACTAATTTTCACTGAGGTGATAATTCAGGGACTAAATTGGCACTTCACTCTATTTTTAAGTCAGTTTTTAATAAATATGCAAGTAAGTCCTAAAAGAGCACTTGAAGTACTTCCTGCAAGAAGTACAAAGTGTGCAACTCAAAGTGTTTTAACCTAATAGATTTTATTTGAATTGTATTCTTTAGAAGGCCAAATTTTACTTCAAATCTTAGTTTATTTTTGCACTATTTTGATGTAGGCTATTCGGATTTTGGTGTTGATCTGCTAATATTTATGTTTTACTGACTCAAACGTGGGGCAAAAACTACAACAAAACTTTGGGTTTTGTAATTATCTGTTTGTATATATATTTATTTATTATGATATATTTTGATTTTCTTAGTTTTGTATATTGAGAAGTTATTCTTTCATGATACTCAAAAAGTTTAGGAGTGATGTAATTTTGGATTGGGATAGTAATTCATTCAAAGTTAACTAATCCTGTTGTCCCAAATTGCGCTTTTATTTTTATTTTTTTCTATCAGGAAGTTTTGTCCACATGATTTTCTTCAAGAAGGCTTTTTACCGAGACCCTCGTGATACTATGCAGCGCTTAAGCTGACGTATCAATATCATAGGACCGAAAATGGTAGTGTATTTGATTTTATGCTGCGTAATACTATTTTGATGGAGTTTTAATGGATTTTCTTATACTCTATGTAGATTCTTAATCTCATAGGGGGGCTGGGTAAAGTTCGAAATACACACAAATTCTTCACTTTTCGCATCCTTGAACAAATATATAATTATCGTCTCATTTTATCAAATGTGTGAGAAGTGTTAATTTTGTCGACGTAGTAGGGACTCTTTGGTCTTTTTAGTAGTGAATATGGGGATTAAAGAAATTGTGAGTTTCAATGACCATATTCGGAAATTAAGCTATTAATTTAGTGTTGCCAATGAGAGGATTATTTAAGGTAATTTTGGCAGGGTTTTTTGTTTTCTGTTGTTCATGATAGGGTGATTTTGTTGGTTCAGATATCCCAACTATGAAAACGAGTTGAAAAAAATAAATAAATCAAAGAGCCGCCTGCTAGGTTCGAAAACTAATGTCTTCTAAAACTCAGTTCACATAATGTGTAGAATATAGGGAGCGTAGCAAAATTAAGTCACATATATGAAGAAATCACACTTAAAATTTGATCAGAAACAAAAGGGTTGAGATTATTATTTAAAAAATGAAGATATATACCTAAAAAATATACACGTTTCTTACTTAAATTTCAATATTTATATACGTTTCTTAGTCACATTTCACCTGAAAACGGTAGTTTAAAAAATGAAGATATATATCTAAAAAATAAAAGGTGTTTTTTAACTTTAATCCTTCAAGAAGATTGAAATTTAAAATAAACTTGGTGTTAGATTACATATTGATTATAATCCCTTGATATGTCTTTAATTCAAAATAATTAATGTGCATTTTATTTGATGTCTCCCCATTAAATATTTAAATTTATTCATAAACAAATTTTAATTTATTGTTTGACAAAAAAAAGTTTTTTAATTTATTAATTTTATTTAACATTTTGAAGGACTCAATTAATGTACCCTAAATGATAGTACCGAAATGTGTGTACCAAAATGTATTATGTCCGAAATGTATGTACCGAAATATATATATATATACTGAAATGTATTATATTAAATTAATGTACCTAAATGTGTTTACCGAAATGTATGCACTAAAATGTATTATGTTGAATTAATGTACTTAAATGTTTGTATCGAAATGTGTGTACTGAAATATGTGTACTTAAATGTACGCACCGAAATGTATTACAATGAATTTAATGTACCTAAATGAAGAAGACAAAGTACATCGAAATATATTGTATAACAAAAATTAGTTTATCAAAATGTTTACAACAAAATATATTACGATAAATGAAATGAAAATTATAATTATAATGAAATAAAATTAATACGTTAAAAATTAGGAAGAAAAATAGAAATAATTAAAAAATTAAAATATAATTAATAAATGAGGTTATTAATGTATCAAGGAATTAAAATTAGATTTTGATCTTACTCATGGTTTTAATTTAAAAATCATCTTTGCAAAGGATTAAATTCTAAAAATAAAGTATATCTTGAAAAAACCCTGTTCTTACACTTTGAGAAGGGGTGATGAGGATTGCTTTTGATCGGAAATTGAAAAACGAAGAAACTGAAACAAAGGCCGGGTGAGTTTACCTTTATACAGTCCGTATACTTTGATACATATACAGTGGAAACACACACACAAACATACATACGTGTGTGTGTGTTTTCACTGTATATGTATGTATGCTGAAAAACTGGCTAACTACAATTACAATATCTGCGTTTCAAAGCATAGTGCAAAAGGCCGGACTTACAGTCACAGAACTCAGAAACTCATGATCAGGTCGTCAAAGTTCACCCTACTGAATGCTGACAAACCTTGTAGGCCTCTTTCACTTCAAAGGAGTAGGAGTACTACTACCTTTTATAAAGAATCACACTACGGTAAAGTGAGAGATAGAAAGAGAGAAACAGAGCACGAGTTGCCTCTAGACTCTAGAGGATGCCTTTCCACCAAACAAATTATAATTAAGCTGTTTCTTTATTTAACACTCGGCTTTTGAAACAACGAAGGGGTAGTTAAAACTGAAATGGATGAATATCCGCCGTGTTGTTCATGAGCACATGTGATTACATGCCATGCACCTTTACTATTTTGTGGTTCAAAACACAAGAAAAATCATAGATTTTAACGTTAGGGTGAGGGTCTCAATCGCAGAGCCTTAGCCAAGTGTCATGCATAGAGGGCGTGGATGTAATTTGCTGTAAAATAATATGAAAAAGACTAGAGGAAACTATCTTATTAAACCACATTTTATAAACTGACATGATATGGTAACAAAGTAAGACTTCATGATTTAAAAAAATTTTAAAAGTCAAACTTCAACAACATCATATGATTTATAGACCGTGGTTTAAAAGATGATCTCTCTAGCATTTCTTCAATAATATATATAATAACGACATGATATGTATACATGATTCTCCTCTTCTCATAGTTTAGTTGACTTTAGTATAAATTATACTATCACTTGTCAAAAAAAAAATGATCTACCAGTTGGCATATGAGGATTGGTATTGAAAATCGCTCATAAGCAAACTTAAGTGAGACTCGTGAACACTTGTAGTAATTTCTACCCAACACGTTAGTAGTAACGCAGTAAAAAAGAAATATTACATGTGTCAACAAGTCCTACTTTAATGTGCTTTTTAGAGAATTTAAGTTATGATGATACAATGTGATATAAATAATGTAGTTTCTCTAACATTTCTCACATAATATCGTTCCTCTTAGGTATATAAGTTTGAGTTCATGAATCTCACCTGGAGAAAATTTTGTTGAATCTAGTAGTACTACCAGTAATATAGAAAGAGTGGTAATATTACCTTACATGTTTTTCTCATTAGAAGAAGAGGGGATTTTAAATTTGAAAGCTTCTAAAATAGAAATACTGCTAGATAGATCAAGAATTTGTGGGTAACCCTACTTTACATGTTAAGTTGTGTTAGGTTGGCAATAAGATTTGGCAACAAAAATGCACCGCAATCATATTCAAATACAGTTTAATAACATAATATGTCAAGAAAAATCCAATCTGATATATCCAAATTCACAAATCCAATCCAACTTATTTGGTTTGCACGACATTAATGTTTATTTTGATCCTTTGATTCAAACACCAAAACATATAGTATATGTTTGAATTGACGCCAATATATTTTTTGTTTTTTAATACAACAATATATTTATATTAAAGAATAAGAGATTTGTCATTTTGTCTTATTAT